ACCTTGTTAGCCGTGGTATTGTGGAGGACATTGACTTGCAGGCTCAGTACTTAATGGGGCCCGAACCCTGGGTCTCCAATGGTTTCGCCATCCCGAAGGGCACCCAGAAGTGGAGATTCATCGTCGACCTCCGGAAGGTTAACCTTCGGTTGGACACCAGTGACTGCAACGAGGTCAGCCCAGATGTGATGTCTCTGCTCTCATCCATCCCCTCCGACGCCAGCTTCTTTGCGTCCATCGACCTGCGCGACGCATTCTTCAACGTGCGCTTGGTTGAGTCCAGCAAGAGGTACCTCATCACCCGGTTCGGTCATCGGTACGTTCGATGGAATCGGGCTCCTCAGGGATTAGCCCTAAGTCCGAGTTTCTGGAGCTCCTGGATAACGGCTTTACTCCGACGAGGTGGTATCGATGTCAGCTGCGTGAGGGTGTATGTCGACGACCTTATCATCTTCGGTCGCTCGGAGCACGAGGTGAACCGCAAGGTCCAGGAGCTACTGAAGTTCTTCCAGGACTGCGGCGTGGCGGTCTCGTTGGAGAAGGTGGTGAAGGCTGGGCGAAGGCTGGCGGCCCTTGGCATGGAGCTCACTCCGGGAGGTTGGTCGGTTTCTCAAGACAAGATCGACAAGTTGCAGGAGATGACGGAGTCCAAGCCTACTACCCGAGACGACTTGAGGTCTCTTATTGGCCTACTCCAATACTGCAGGACCGCCTACCACTATGTCCGTGTGCCTTCCGAGTTCTCCGAGGACATGGGAGCTCTCAATGACTTACTCAAGGGTTCGGGTCGGCTCAAGTGGACACCGGTAGCGGACGTCGCCTATGATCGGCTCCGACTACGGTTCAAACAGCGGTTTCTGCCTTTCCACTCTGTCGAGGAGACGGCACCCAGTACCACTAGACGTTATGTGATACAGGCCGACGCCAGTGACGTGGCTATTGGTTTCTGTCTGTGGTCGATCAATGTCGATGAGGACGTCTCCGCCGACACCTTAGCTAAGTCCGGTAGTCTACTCATGTGGGGTTCCAAGGTGCTTGACTCAGCCTCTCGGAGCTGGCCCTCTTGGGATCGAGAAGGTTACGCGGTCTACGTCGCCCTTTGTCGCTTCCGACCGTGGTTGATATCCTCAACGACGACCACATACGTCTTGACTGACAACACTGGTAGCTTGTACAAGTGGGCCACCATGGAGAAGGGCGAGCGGCTGTTACCGTCTTTGCAACGAGGACAACGTTGGCTTCGCTGGTTTAACTTGACGAGTGATATGCTGATCTTCAAGTCCATCTGCTTCAAGCATGTGAAGGGAGTAGAGAACGGCCTAGCTGATGCGCTCAGCAGACTCACCAATCACTTGTTGAACCGAGATGATGAGGCGGTGCAGACGGAGCAGTGTCTTCAAACGGTTGCCGGGTCGGGGGAGCCCGGCGTCGGTTTCTTGTCCGACTGTGACTGGGCTCCACCTGCGTTGGTTGGTCCTATCCAAGAAGCCTGTCGAGTAGCACAACCTCGGGATGAACAGACCAAGTTCCTGGGCAAGACGGTGTCTGAGATCTACCAATTGGTGACGGCTAAGGATGACCCCACCACAGTGGTACCTGACTGGCTGGATCGCTTCCTCCTCTTCGACCATTGTCTAATGATGAGCTCCCTTGAGCCGGTTACTCACTTACCTCGGTGGTTAGTGGTGATACCGGTGGGCACTATTAGTGTCGAGATTGAGAATGAGACCAAGACTGTTCCTATCCGTGAGTATCTATGCTGGCTGGTTCACTCGCGTGTAGCCACTGGTCACCCCTCTCCGGCAATGATGAAGTGTCAACTCCGTCAACGTTGTTGGTGGCCGTCTATGGAAACCTGCTGCCGGACGTGGACGAGTAAATGCTACACCTGCCAAGTGGAGACAGCCCGCACCAACCGCAGTCTTGGGAAGTTTAGCCTTCGCCGCTACCCCGGTCGCTTCGAGGCCATCAGCGTGGACTATACCGGTCCCTACGAGGTATCTTCGGTGGGGCAGTTCCGGTTCAGCCTGACGATCATGGACCTCTGTACTGGGTACGTCCGCTTCGCTGCTACAAGGACGCGGTGCGGAGGCGAGTTCGTGGCGACTCTGCTGAAGTATTGGGGAATGGACTTCGATCTACCCCGTACTATATTGCATGATCGTGATGGGGCCTTCGTGGCTGAAGTGGTCAGGGCTTGGAAGGCCCGGGCCCAGATCGAGGAGAAGACTTCTCTGCCCTACTTGGCTCGCATGAACGGCAAATGTGAGCGAGCCCATCAAGAGCTGAAGCGGTGTGTCCGTCAGGCTATCTCCCAGTCCGGGTCGGCATCATGGCCAGAGGCGTTGACTGTTGCCGCCCGAGTACACAACCGGTTTCCGACCTTCCGTGAGAAGATCAGTCCTTATCAGCTGGTCTTCGGGCAACTACCTCGAGATGACTGGGGTGCATTGGTTAACAGCCTACGTCATGAAGATGGTTTCCAGAAACTCTGTGAGGATGACCCAAGTGGTTTCTTGAAGGATCTCAAGACCAACATCGAGAACACTCTGGCCATCTACCGGGAGAACAATGTCTTCCACCGACTGGGTATGAACCACCACCGCCAGGCCTCCTCCTTTCAGGTGGGAGATCGAGTGCTCTACCTCAAGCACGCGGCCACTGACGGTCCGGCGAGTGCATTCCATCCTACTGTGGAAGGCCCCTACACCATCACCGAGGTCAGTGAGCGTCAACCGGCTTTGGTCACCCTAGACGATCGAGTCAAGTGTGCTGCCGACCAGCTTGTGCGGTACCGGGACTATGACTCGGTATTGCCAGCGGCCACATCGTCTACTGCGGCGCAAGAGGTTGTCGAGCTCGAGCGAGTGGACCCAGACTCTCTATCCGTTGGTGACTTCGTCGTCTATCGCAGTCCAGGTAACGATTGGCTCTTCGAGATCGCCCGAGTAACCGCCGTGGCTGTCGACCAAGGAGCTGTGGACGTTGACCTCTATATCGTCAATCGGTCGGAGAAGTGGCTGCCAAGTGGTCGCAGATGTCGTGCCCCAATGGCACTGGTTTTGTGCAAGATCGAGATGAACCAGAAATCTCGGATAACCCGACGTTCCCGTCAAGATCTGAAGAACTTGGGAGTCCACCTGTGACATTCAACGATGGATTATTCTATGATAATGCAGTATGTAATGCTAATTGATGATGAGTATGATGATTATTGTATATTGGTATTAGCTCCAGTCTGCGATGCCCTTTCAATTATGTTTGACGCCCAAGACCCACTAGGGGGAGATGTGGCTTGCATACAGTAGTACCTAGCCAGTAGTGAGTCTCGCCCGCCAGGGCATCCATTGTGTCGCTCGCCGGCAACGGCTGACCGTTTCATCATGAGGCTAGTAGCTGGAGCTAATCACTCTTGAATGATAGATTTCATTTGCACTAACTCCTGGTGCTTTGTGTTTCCCATATGACTGACGGTGACTCCTCCCAACAGCAACAAACCCGCTCGGACATGCGCTGCGTAACGCGCGCGCCCTGATGATCGATTCCTCACGCCGGGTTTCAGCCCAGCGCAGATCAGAGGTCAGACCCGGTTCTTCAGCGCGGCTGGCAGCCGGGCAGTGTTCCCGACAGAATCACATAAAACAACCGAACCACCGATGGAACCAACAGTGGCGGTAAAACACTCGCTGCGCTTGCCATGAGTCATTGCCGTGACGGTGATGCCGTCAACGGTGAACACCCAGGAAGTGACTGCTTTATGCAGACACCGTGTCCAACCCACTGGTTTACCTGGCCCAGGTAACCTGGGCCCAGGCGCAGGAGGGATATCCTATGACCGTTCAATAGCGTCAAGAGCTGGCACATCCGCATGATGAGCTGACGGTCAACCGACACTACTATTAACTCAACACGAGTAATAGTATTTAATACTAGAGTCAATTTAACTCTTTTTGTTTACAGGATCGCCCGCACACAGTGTAGCGGCGGTAAATAGGTAGCATTACAGCAATGAATTGCACCAATATACCACTACAACGAAAAACTGGGTCTCAATTAGGGTGTCCCTGGTCTCGGAATAATTGTCAACGACTTGTACGGAATACATATATGCAATAGCATACACGTATACTCTGGGCGATACTTGAATCTGCAACTTTTGGATTAGAAGTCAAACGCTCTATCCGATTGAGCCACCAGAGCCGGAAGCAGTAGTGACATACAGTGCTGGCCGGTGGTGAGCGTTCCTTTGAATGTTGAAGGGCATACAGTTGATTAATTTGCTGCCTCAGCAGACTATTCTCAGTAAGCCAACTTGTGTTGAAATTGGAGCGCTTGGGGTTCCGGAGCCAAATGTTGCGGGTTCAACTTCGGTCAGGATTAGGCAAAAATCCTAGTTCCGAGTGAAGTGTCGCACCAAGACTTGGTGCAAGATGGAAACACGCTGTGGGATAGGGCTGAGCCGTGGTAAGGTGAGAATTCCAGGACAGCGCACCGTGCATCCATCAGCGACAAGCTGACGTCTCGTTCTGTGTTCATGAACGCCTTGTCAACATTCTCGTGTGCTGGAACACATTTCGTTCCAAACACAATTCACTGCCCGGATTTGACGCGGGGTTCAAACGGCCACAACGTGACGTCCTGACCACTAAACGATAGCGACGTAGGAGGCCATTCTGATGATACATATTCCAATGCTTAACAACAAACAAGCTGTGCTCACTCAATTTCGCTGAAGCGAGAAACGCCGGGCAGTGTCCGATGGTGAGTTCTTGGAATATTGCATGATCACAGTTGAATTGCATTCGAGCCGCAAGCTATCTCGAAGCACTTGTAACACTCTACACGGCAGATGGAGCCATCCAATACTAACTAATCACTGACAGTTTGGCCGAGGCGCTAGTGACTAGCACTACAAGTGCGAGACGACGGAGATAGCGTATAGTCAGGAAGGGCTGTCTTAAGAACAGACAGCTCCGATCTGATGTGGTAGCATACACGTATACTCTAGGCGATACTTGAATCTGCAACTTTTGGATTAGATGTCCAACGCTCCATCCGATTGAGTTACTAGAGCTGGTGAACGGATCAAGCTGTCACGGACAGCAGCTAGTGCCGACTAGCGTTTTGCGCCGTTAGGCGCACCTGCATAGAGTGGATTCATGCTTCACAGTTCGGGTGCTGCCGATAGTTTGGCGGCAGCCTACTCCTGTCAAAAAGGAATCCAAGCGGAACACTCCTCCGATTGATCCAACACGAGTACGGAGTGTAACTAACCACTTTTAGTCGACCTTGTGGCGCAATGGAAGCGCGTCGGTTTCCGGAGCCGAAGGTTGCGGGTTCAAGTCCCGCCAGGGTTGTAGTATTTAATTGCTTTCAACGGCGATAGTGTATAGTAGGGAGACTGCCATAGGAGCAGACAGTTCCGATCTGATGTGTACCTACTCTGGGCGGGACTTGAACCCGCAACCTTTGGATTAGAAGTCCAACGCTCTATCCGATTGAGCCACCAGAGCCGGAACTAGTTGCGACATACAGTGCTGGCCGGTGGTGGGCGTTCCTTTGAATGTTGAAGGGCATACAGTGGATTCATTTGCTGCCTCAGCAGACTATTCTCAGTAAGCCGAGCTTATGGTGAAATTGAAGCACTTCGGGTTCCGGAGCCAAATGCTGCGGGTTCAACTTCGGTCAGGATTAGGCAAAATCCAAGTTCCGAGTGAAGTGTCGCACCAAGACTTGGTGCACGATGAAACACGCTGTGGGATAGGGCTGAGCCGTGGTAAGGTGAGAATTCCAGGACAGCGCACCGTGCATCCATCAGCGACAAGCTGACGTCTCGTTCTGTGTTCATGAACGTCTTGTCAACATTCTCGTGTGCTGGAACACATTTCGTTCCAAACTAAAGTCGCTACCCGGATTTAAACCGGGATTGTCACGGCCACAACGTGACGTCCTGACCACTAGACGATAGCGACGCAGGAGACCATTCTGATGATACATATTCGAATGCTTAACAACAAACAAGCTGTGCTCACTCAATTTCGCTGAAGCGAGAAACGCCGGGCAGTGTCCGATGGTGAGTTATTGGAATATTGCATGATCACAGTTGAATTGCATTCGAGCCGCAAGCTATCTCGAAGCACTTGTAACACCCTACACGGCAGATGGAGCCATCCAATACTAACTAATCACTGACAGTTTGGCCGAGGCGTTAGTGACTAGCACTACAAGACTTGTAGTACAAGTGTGAGACGACGGAGATAGCGTATAGTCAGGAAGGGCTGTCTTAAGAACAGACAGATCCGATCTGATGTGGTAGCATACACGTATACTCTAGGCGATACTTCAATCTGCAACTTTTGGATTAGATGTCCAACGCTCCATCCGATTGAGTTACTAGAGCTGGTGAACGGATCAAGCTGTCACGGACAGCAGCTAGTGCCGACTAGCGTTTTGCGCCGTTAGGCGCACCTACATAGAGTGGATTCATGCTTCACAGTTCGGGTGCTGCCGATAGTTTGGCGGCAGCCTACTCCTGTCAAAAAGGAATCCAAGCGGAACACCCCTCCGATTGATCCAACACGAGTACGGAGTGTAACTAACCACTTTTAGTCGATCTTGTGGCGCAATGGAAGCGCGTCGGATTCCGAAGCCGAAGGTTGCGGGTTTAAGTCCCGCCAGGGTTGTAATATCTAATTGTTTTCAACGGCGATAGTGTATAGTAGGGAGACTGCCATAGGAGCAGACAGTTCCGATCTGATGTGTATATACTCTGGGCGGGACTTGAACCCGCAACCTTTGGATTAGAAGTCCAACGCTCTATCCGATTGAGCCACCAGAGCCGGAACTAGTTGCGACATACAGTGCTGGCCGGTGGTGGGCGTTCCTTTGAATGTTGAAGGGCATACAGCGGATTCATTTGCTGCCTCAGCAGACTATTCTCAGTAAGCCGAGCTTATGGTGAAATTGAAGCACTTCGGGTTCCGGAGCCAAATGCTGCGGGCTCAACTTCGGTCAGGATTAGGCAAAATCCAAGTTCCGAGTGAAGTGTCGCACCAAGACTTGGTGCACGATGAAACACGCTGTGGGATAGGGCTGAGCCGTGGTAAGGTGAGAATTCCAGGACAGCGCACCGTGCATCCATCAGCGACAAGCTGACGTCTCGTTCTGTGTTCATGAACGTCTTGTCAACATTCTCGTGTGCTGGAACACATTTCGTTCCAAACTAAAGTCGCTACCCGGATTTGAACCGGGGTTGTCACGGCCACAACGTGACGTCCTGACCACTAGACGATAGCGACGCAGGAGACCATTCTGATGATACATATTCCAATGCTTAACAACAAACAAGCTGTGCTCACTCAAATTCGCTGAAGCGAGAAACGCCGGGCAGTGTCCGATGGTGAGTTCTTGGAATATTGCATGATCACAGTTGAATTGCATTCGAGCCGCAAGCTATCTCGAAGCACTTGTAACACCCTACACGGCAGATGGAGCCATCCAATACTAACTAATCACTGACAGTTTGGCCGAGGCGTTAGTGACTAGCACTACAAGACTTGTAGTACAAGTGCGAGACGACGGAGATAGCGTATAGTCAGGAAGGGCTGTCTTAAGAACAGACAGATCCGATCTGATGTGGTAGCATACACGTATACTCTAGGCGATACTTCAATCTGCAACTTTTGGATTAGATGTCCAACGCTCCATCCGATTGAGTTACTAGAGCTGGTGAACGGATCAAGCTGTCACGGACAGCAGCTAGTGCCGACTAGCGTTTTGCGCCGTTAGGCGCACCTACATAGAGTGGATTCATGCTTCACAGTTCGGGTGCTGCCGATAGTTTGGCGGCAGCCTACTCCTGTCAAAAAGGAATCCAAGCGGAACACCCCTCCGATTGATCCAACACGAGTACGGAGTGTAACTAACCACTTTTAGTCGATCTTGTGGCGCAATGGAAGCGCGTCGGATTCCGAAGCCGAAGGTTGCGGGTTTAAGTCCCGCCAGGGTTGTAATATCTAATTGTTTTCAACGGCGATAGTGTATAGTAGGGAGACTGCCATAGGAGCAGACAGTTCCGATCTGATGTGTATATACTCTGGGCGGGACTTGAACCCGCAACCTTTGGATTAGAAGTCTAACGCTCTATCCGATTGAGCCACCAGAGCCAAAAATAGATGCGACATACAGTGCTGGCCGGTGGTGGGCGTTCCTTTGAATGTTGAAGGGCATACAGTGGATTCATTTGCTGCCTCAGCAGACTATTCTCAGTAAGCCGAGCTTATGGTGAAATTGAAGCACTTCGGGTTCCGGAGCCAATTGCTGCGGGTTCAACTTCGGTCAGGATTAGGCAAAATCCTAGTTCCGAGTGAAGTGTCGCACCAAGACTTGGTGCACGATGAAACACGCTGTGGGATAGGGCTGAGCCGTGGTAAGGTGAGAATTCCAGGACAGCGCACCGTGCATCCATCAGCGACAAGCTGACGTCTCGTTCTGTGTTCATGAACGTCTTGTCAACATTCTCGTGTGCTGGAACACATTTCATTCCAAACTAAAGTCGCTACCCGGATTTGAATCGAGGTTGTCACGGCCACAACGTGACGTCCTGACCACTAGACGATAGCGACGCAGGAGACCATTCTGATGATACATATTCCAATGCTTAACAACAAACAAGCTGTGCTCACTCAATTTCGCTGAAGCGAGAAACGCCGGGCAGTGTCCGATGGTGAGTTCTTGGAATATTGCATGATCACAGTTGAATTGCATTCGAGCCGCAAGCTATCTCGAAGCACTTGTAACACCCTACACGGCAGATGGAGCCATCCAATACTAACTAATCACTGACAGTTTGGCCGAGGCGTTAGTGACTAGCACTACAAGTGCGAGACGACGGAGATAGCGTATAGTCAGGAAGGGCTGTCTTAAGAACAGACAGCTCCGATCTGATGTGGTAGCATACACGTATACTCTAGGCGATACTTGAATCTGCAACTTTTGGATTAGATGTCCAACGCTCCATCCGATTGAGTTACTAGAGCTGGTGAACGGATCAAGCTGTCACGGACAGCAGCTAGTGCCGACTAGCGTTTTGCGCCGTTAGGCGCACCTGCATAGAGTGGATTCATGCTTCACAGTTCGGGTGCTGCTGATAGTTTGGCGGCAGCCTACTCCTGTCAAAAATGAATCCAAGCGGAACACTCCTCCGATTGATCCAACACGAGTACGGAGTGTAACTAACCACTTTTGGTCGATCTTGTGGCGCAATGGAAGCGCGTCGGCTTCCGGAGCCGAAGGTTGCGGGTTTAAGGCCCGCCAGGATAGAAATATCTAATTGCTTTCAACGGCGATAGTGTATAGTAGGAAGACTGCCATAGGAGCAGACAGTTCCGATCTGATGTGTATATACTCTGGGCGGGACTTGAACCCGCAACCTTTGGATTAGAAGTCTAACGCTCTATCCGATTGAGACACCATAGCCGAAACTAGTCGCGACATACAGTGCTGGCCGGTGGTGGGCGTTCCTTTGAATGTTGAAGGGCATACAGTGGATTCATTTGCTGCCTCAGCAGACTATTCTCAGTAAGCCGAGCTTATGGTGAAATTGAAGCACTTCGGGTTCCGGAGCCAATTGCTGCGGGTTCAACTTCGGTCAGGATTAGGCAAAATCCTAGTTCCGAGTGAAGTGTCGCACCAAGACTTGGTGCACGATGAAACACGCTGTGGGATAGGGCTGAGCCGTGGTAAGGTGAGAATTCCAGGGCAGCGCACCGTGCATCCATCAGCGACAAGCTGACGTCTCGTTCTGTGTTCATGAACGTCTTGTCAACATTCTCGTGTGCTGGAACACATTTCGTTCCAAACTAAAGTCGCTACCCGGATTTGAACCGGGGTTGTCACGGCCACAACGTGACGTCCTGACCACTAGACGATAGCGACGCAGGAGACCATTCTGATGATACATATTCCAATGCTTAACAACAAACAAGCTGTGCTCACTCAATTTCGCTGAAGCGAGAAACGCCGGGCAGTGTCCGATGGTGAGTTCTTGGAATATTGCATGATCACAGTTGAATT